CTTGTAGCACACTTAGCAGATGGTGGTTGGCTCCCTCTACTTTTCTACCAGTCTGTGGCCTACAGTTTAAATGGTGGGAAGAAGGACCCAAATAAATGATATTTGAGGCTGGGAAGAAGGCATGGGGTACTAGGCAAGGGAGGAAGTTTCTTAGGCCTGGAGCAAGGGGCCAGGGGCCCAGGCAGGTGACAGAGCCCCACAGTGCCCTCACTACCCTATTAATGGGCCCAGAATCTGGAAGCCAGCCACCACATGCCCTCATGCCCAGGGCCTTGCTGCAGCTGGAGCTGAAGAGCCAAGAGTCTCAGAGTGTGCGCAGCAGTGAGACTAGTACCTGGGTCACCCGCAGCAGTACGTGGTCACCTATCAGCAGCTGACCTCCGAGAAGGAGGCGCTGCACAGGGAGTTACTGCTGCAGACCCAGCTCATGGACCAACTGCAGCAGCAGGAAACTCGGGGCAAAGCGGTGGCTGAGATGGCCCACCAAACCTGCAGTGGACCCAGGAGCTGGAGTTGCTGAGGAGAGGGGCCCGAGGGAGACGACCTGGCAACCTTGGTGCCTTCTCACTCATTTTCCGTTCCCTTAGGAGCACCTAGAAGCAGCCAGCCAGCAGAATCGACACCTAGAGGCCCAGTTGAGCCTCATGGCTATCCCTGGAGAAGGTACAGGAGACCACTCAGGGGAAGAGGAGAGACCCCAGGAGGAAGGGGGGACTGTCAGCAGCATAGGATTGAAGGGTTGGAAGAAACCTTTAGAAGAGCTGGTCATTATGCCAACCGGGTGTCTGCAATAAACGGCATGAATATGGTGACCTACTGGGAGCAGGGGGCCACCAGATTGCCTAAGGATGAGTGAACTGGCCCAGATCAGAAAGGGAGCAGTTCAGAACTCCCACACCGACTGGTAGTGGGACTGCCTGGGCAATATAGCAAGATCTTGGTTCTTAAAAGGAAAAATAAAGAACAGCAGCTCATTTCCCTCTGGGGAGGGGCTGGATCAGGGTTACACAGTGAGGGTGGGGAGACGTGGGCCCGCAATACCTCCCTAGTTGGGTTGTCTGAGGACCCCTCTGGCCACCTCCCCACAGGAGATGAAGGAGGTCATCTGGACGATGAGGAGGAGGAAGTGCCTCAGCTCATGCCAAGTATCCCAAAGGACCTGGAGAGCCAGGAGGCCATGGTGAGTCTGACTGTCCCTGCCCCACTTTGCCACCTTCCTCTGTGGTCCCTCCCAGACCCACTTATGCTCTTGGTTTCCCCACCTTCTGATTTCTCTGGACCCTCACCCCTTCTGGGAGCCAGTGTTCAGACACCATTTCACCTGTGACCAACAGGTGTACTCTCTGAGACCCCAAGGGAAGGGGCTGTGCTCCACCTCCCTGCCCCATTTGTTTTGTGTATTCCCCTACAAGAATACTCAGCTCTTGCCTTCATGTGGCATTTTTCAACTCCACTGGAGCCACTGCCCAGAAGGAGCAGGCATGGCTATGTGGACAGCAGAAGGTGCAAAGGCGGTGTTGCCCATACCTGTCTCACTTGGTGGCCTTGACTTGGAAGGAGCCAGAGGCTGAGGCCCCGGCCCCAGGGACTGTGTTTGAGTTTGTGTGTGGGGAGACCTACCGGGCCCTGCAGGGGGCCATGGAGAAGCTGAAGGTGAGCGAGTCCTGGCATGGGCCAAGAAAAGTGGGGATGGGGAAGGACAGGTCACTCCCAAGATGTGACCCCATTATTTTGGCTCCAGAGCAGCTTTATGAATCTCCCGAAGGAGAAGGTGGACAGGAAGGAGCAGGTGGAAAAACTAGAGCTTGGATTCATCCAGCTCTCTGGAGCAACAGAGGGCATGAGTAAGCAGAAAGCCAGGGCACGGCATGGGGAGCTGCGGGGCCATCGGATGGGCCCCAGTCTGAGCCCTGTCCTCTTGCAGGAGAGTACATCACCATATATGAGAGCCATGGGGCAGTGCCAAACACACGGCACCAGGAGGATATCATCAGGCTGGCCCAGAAGGAGGAGATGAAGGTAGAGGGCATGCAATATCTCCGTGGGGGTGGGGTGGGCGTTGGCGCTGGTGCCGGCTTAGTCATGGCAGCTGAGCACCCCTCCCTTCAGATGAAGCTGTTGGAACTGCAGGAGCTGGTGTTGCCACTCGTGGGCGACCACGAGGGGCATGACAAATTCCTCCCCACTACCCAGATCCCTGGTGATGAGCCCGCTCCAGGGGCCCCAGCCCCCCAAGAGCTTGGGGCTGCAGAGGAGCAGGGTGGTGAGTAGAGCCCTCAGGCGGGGTGGGCAGGCAGGAGCAGGGGAGGCTCGCACTGTGCTCAGACCCCCGCCTCCTTCTCTCTGAAGAGCTTTGTGAGGTGACCCTGGCCGACAGCATGGAGCCTGCACCGGGAGAGGCCAGGGAGGGTTCTCCCAATGGCAACCCCACCGCACAGAAGATCGTGCAGCTGCTTCCCGTAATGCAGGACACCCAGGAGCACCCAGGCTTGGCCAGCAAACCCTGCGTCCCATTCTTTTACCGGGCAGCCGAGAACAGGGAGATAAACATCATCATCATCTGAGAGCTGGTCAAGAAATTTAAAATCAACAACAAAAAAATGTGGTTAATCCCCTACACAATTCATTTATTTCATTTGAATGTTAGAGCCCCTCATGTTTATTTGTGTTTCAATTTAGAGTTTAAATTTATTTATAAAAAGTTAAGGGAGAGGGCTCTTTCCCTGATGTTCACTCTGGCATCCTTTAGCATTTTTGTTTTTTTTATCTGATAATTGTAGGTTATTAGCATGCGTATCGAGTTTGCCCTTATGTGGTGGGAGTTCAAACACACACAGACCTTCTATTTGCACAAAACTATTCTTGCTGGTTTGCAATAGGCTGCCATGCTTTTTAAATGTTATTGCAGCATGTATATTCTTTACAGAATTCAGATAAAATCTGCTTATGTTCTGCTATTATGTTTGATCGAATCCTAATCACAGTGAGCTCTTCATTAGCTCAATATGTGGTTTGCCCTCAAGTGCGGACTGTTTCTTACTTTGTAATATGCCCCCGTGAGTACTGACATTTAGAGTTGTTTAAAGGCCGAGAACTGGAAACAGCTTTTCCCCTATTTTCTGTGTATTGGGGATGGGAGTGATAACATTTTGGGGAGCTTTTTAAATCTCACAGAAGAGGAAAGTGGCCTGCTCTGGCAGGTGTGTGGGGTACCCTTAGGATTTGTATGTGCTCTGGGTTCATGAAGATATTGCATCATAAGCTGCAGCAGTTGGACTCTTTCTCAATGACCTAAAAGGGATTATTTCTGAAGAATGAAAGGCTCCCGTCATTGACTGTGGATGTGGAAAATCTTTTCTAGCTTAGAGCTTTCATATCCACAATACATTTTAATGTCAGAGTTCATGTTACCTGTTTTAATCACATGACGACATGTCCCAGTACACAAAATGGCACTGGTTGATATTCTTCTTAATGTATTTAGTGAAGATCATCAGAAATCCTTTCAGAGTTTAAACGTCCCTGGAACAGGCATACAGGCTCTAGTCAAGAACGAATTCGAGTGAAGGAAAGCTGTGTGACACCTGGCATTCCTCTATGTTCATGGAGCTTCTTTGAGGCTAGAAGATTGATTTTACCATCTAGACCTCTCTGGCTAATACCTGTTCTTCAACCACATTGGTTAATCTGACACAGGAATTTGCTTCTTTTCTTTGAATGAAAAACACTTTAAAAATAATAACGACCATTATTATAAACCAATATATGTAAGAGTATTAGTTGAAACAAAAAGGAGTTTTAGTAGACAGTATTATACTACATTTGAAAATCAAGGGGAAGTTTATGCAACTTAAAATGTTTACAAACTGCAGTGCAATCTACTGTTTGTGAAGCTCAAAGTGTTATGAGGAAAAGTGTCTATACAATCACAGAGTTATGTTTCCCCACAAAGTTCTTTACAAAGAGTGAACTATGTTTTTGTACCTCTCAGTTTCAGTTAGAGGCATATTTTGTGCCATATTTATGTTAATGTGTCTGTACATGATGAATGAATTATTTCAGTCATACGTTGCCTAAATCATAACTTTATGATGCTTGGGAAAGAATCAACAGCTAAAACTTCATGAAGTTCTCATGTCTATGTTCCAAAATACATCACTTTATTAGGATGTAGGGAGAGATGTATGTGCGTTCCCTGGGGTGGGCATTTCTAGTTACTAGATCATCTCCATTTTTAGCATTTGGCATCCTCATGATACTTTTATACATATGACATTAATAGGAGAGCAATAATATGATTTTACAGATGGAATAATAGATTTGCCTGCATTCACTGAAAGGGTGCAAATATTTAGTCCTTGTGACTTCAACGGACTCTTCCAAATTGTCTATTTTAGAGCCTTGGGCTAGAAATCATACCACTGTTAATTAGCCCCCTTGTTTGGTCTAACAGTTTTTCTTTATAATACTGAAACTGGGTTTACCTGATACACTGATAAATTATTTCAAAAGTATTTTTATAGTTCAAGTCACTTCACTTTTACCCTGATAAATATAAATGACTAGGAATGACCTTCAGATAGTGTTTAGCATCTGTAACCAATCTGACAATAATGTGTTCATCAGGTACCTATGGGTGAAATCACACACTGGCATGTTTAAGCTGAATGTCAGTCTGGAAAAGAAATGTACTGTATTAACTGAAATACCACTCTTTGTGTAGGTATTTTGTAATTTATTTTTTTTAAAAGCTAAAAAGAATAGAAATTGTATGATAATAAGTTTTTCTTCAAAGTGCACGCAGTCTTTTGCAATACCTAATTCAGCCAAGTATTTGTTCTCTTCCTCATTCAGTATAAGGCAGCTTTCAGTTTGCTGAGAAGGCAACATTAGGTTAGAGTTTATCAGAAACATAGAACTTTAAAGTATGAGTTCAACTGAATAAATTTGAATTTCTGTAGGAAGTAAAGAAAATACCTTTTTAAAGATTGCAATATATAACCATTTTTAAAGTATTTAATTAAACCTGATAGGTTTTCCAGAAATGAAAAAAAAAATCAGTTCTAAAAGCAAAGCTGATATTTAGAAGATGTGAAAATGTAAGTCAGCCCTATCCATAATATAGTTTCTCTAAAACTTTATCTTAAAGAGTCACTTTAAAAGACTAAAACTATTCAAAAATGTAACTGCTATGTTAATGTTCTGAAATAAGTTAAAACATTTTAAAACATGAATACTGTAGTTTAAAAGAATGAAACTGGGGGAAGGAAAAGTAGAGAAAGAAATGCCAATTCCAATGCAAAGCTTTATTTGCCGAGTTTTCTTAGAATGACTTTTACCAATTTCTGAATTCCTGTCAACAGAATGTATAATGGAAATACTGAAAGACTGTTGTCTAAAGTGCCATTATTGACTGCTACTGTGATGCTACTGTAATGTAATGAAGTAGGAAATTGTTACAAGGGGCTGTTTTTGCCTTAAAATTTTGTGTGTCTTGGAAATTATGCCGTTAAAGGTATTGAGACTGTGCAAATGCTGGGCACGCTTGGCATGAGATCGTCGGTTTTTATTTTTACAAAATTGTAACTATGCAAGTGTGTTTATTGAAAGAACACAAACTAAAGTTATGGGATAAAAAAGTTGTGGATGAAAAAGTTATGGGATAAAAAATGTGGAAAAGTTGTGAAAAAAAGTAGAATAATGTTTCATGAAAAGTTTAAAAAAATTATTATGAACAAGAAGTTACAGGATTAAAAAAATAAGTCATGGGATAAAAACAAAAACAAATAAAAGCAGGCCCCTGTCAGCATAAGCCTGGAGAAGTGGGGCTGGAGTCTCCACCCCCATCATATTCCTATCACCCCTTCCCAGTCACCCCTTTACCATTAGGGTAGCAAGACAAGACCCCTGTCTAATGGGGGTGGGGGTAAAAAACAGACCCTTTACCACCTTGACCAGGGCCGAGTCCTTAAATTTCTGGATGGTGATGTTTGCTATTTAAGAGCCAGAGGCTGGTGGAGTTGGTTTGTTTGGAGGAGGCCTGAAGGCCTCCCTACTCTCACCAAAGCAACTTTTCCCTCAGGGGGCTCCTGTCTTATTCAGAGAGGCAGCTGAGGCAGGACAGTGGGGCTAAGTGTAGAGCAGGCGAGGGCATGGGCTGCTGGGGTGGCCTCCCTTCCCCAGTGTACATATAGTATCTGTGTAACATTTTGTATATTCTGGGAGTAGGGCCGCCCCCTGTATTATACCTAGCGGAGGTTGGAACTGGCATATGGGGAGGAGGTTCTAATCATTATTTGCATCTGGGAAACTTATTGATAGCATAGGACAGAGAAAGGAGGTGGGGATGAGGTTGTGGCTCCCTGGTAATGTGACTCCCGTTTATTTTGCTTTTCATTCTGGAGTAAATGGATCTAGCCATACTGCTCAACCTGGTGTGTTCCCGTTTCCCTCACTGGGTCCTGGAGTCTGTGCCACTGAACGAGGAGCCCAGAGTGTCTGAGCATGTCCAGCTGGGCTGTTGGGGACCTTCCAGGCCTGTTACCTGTATGCTGCCTGGTGACACCTGGTGGATTTCACGGGGACTGCCATGGCACCTATGGGGCACAGTCCAGCCCTGACAGCCAACAGGCTCAGAAGCCTGATCTAGCAGTGGCTGGGAAGGCAGATACCAGCACCCAAGGGCACTGACTTCCATCCACCCCAGGCAACTTCCCTTCTGTCCCCCTGCCTCCCTCTCCTGTCTGCACCTGGTGGCCTGTTCTGTCTGTTCCCTCAGAGTGCCGGTTGCCCTGCAGGCTCCCTCCAGGCTGAGTTCATGGCCCTGCACCCTAGTGGCCAGAGCCGTCTTCCCAGGATAAGAGACAGCTAAACTCCAGACTTTCCAGGAAAAGTGTCCCTTGGAAAGGGTGTGGCCTTTTCACCACTCCCAACAGCACCCTAGAAATGGCTTGGCCTTTTCCCTCCCCTGAGCTCCACAGAGAACACAGCCAGCAGAGGACACATTCCCCGCCATCCAGAAATGGGTTTGATTCTCAGCCGAGGGACAGCAAGACTGGTAGAGAGGCCACATGGCTGCCTGCACAGCAACCCCATGCTTGGTGGGGGTGGGAGGGATGGCGGAGGCTGGCTGTCCACAGGCCGGGCATGACAGGGAGGCTCACTGGAGGTGGCGCAGTTTGGAGGGGCAATGTCAGGGGAGAGCTTTCTCTTCTTGGGCCACAAGACTCCACAAGGACAGCACGGTGACGGATTCCCAGCGCTAGAGGCAAGGCAGTCGGCCATGTGTAGGTGTGTGTGTGTATATATATGTGTGTGTGTGTGTATATATGTATCAGTATTTATAGATATTTATAGAACAGGGCAGGGCATACTACAGAGGGGCACAAGTTTTCAGCAACAGTCACACCTGGATGTGTCAGCTCAGCACTACAACAGACTAAGTCACAGATGAAGGGGGCTGGTTTTGGGCTGGGGAGCCACTATCAAGTCACAGGACACTTGCCCAGGCAGGCTTGGAAAGGGAGGCCTCAGAGAAGAGGAGGATCTGTTTAAAGGTCAAAGTGGGGCTGGGGCTCTCAGGTCCGGATGAACTTCCTGACCCGATCAGCTGGCAGTTGGAGAGAAGCAGAGAGAAAACAGGAGAGAGAAAAGTGAGCAGAGAGCTGGTGAGGCAAGCACAGAGCACGGGCGTGCTGGGGCAGCTGTGGGAGGGCCGCGGAGGGGAGGGTGCAGGTGCAGGTGTGGCAAGGTTCCTGGAAAAGAGGGGCTGGAAAGGAAAGGGGAGGAAGATGGAGGTTGGAACTGGAGCTTCACAGGCAGTGCCTAGGGACTGCGGTGGCCCTCCCCAGCCCACACACACTGGCCTCTCGCATGGCACCCAGGCAGTGTACCCACAGTTCAGACCAATGCTCAGCCCCCTCAGGCTTCCCTCTTCTCTAGTCACCCTCTCTTCCAACCCACTGGCTCAGGGCCACCTCTTGCCTTGGAGAGGCCCACACGACAGCCGCCAGGTCTGATAGAGAAGGAACACTGCTTGACCCAGGATGGTGAACCTTTTAGGTTCACCTGGGATGGATGGCTGGAGTGAGTGCCAGAGGCCCCTCTGGGCGGTCAGAAAGCCCAGGACCCTCTGAAAGGATGCTGGGAGAGGCAGGAAGGGCATATGCCACTGGCCATAGACTTATAAGTCTAAGAAGGGAGCCTCAGCTGGTTGCAGGGTCTGCAGGTCACATAGGTGAGGCTGAGCCCTTCCTGCTGGGAAAAGCAGAAGAGGGAGATGGGCTCTTCTGCTTTTCCCAGCAGCAAGAGGGAGGTGGGTGGGCTCCCTAGGTGGAGCTCAGCTGAGCCAGTAGGGACTGTGGTCCCCTTGGCTGAATAGCACAGGTGACCCATAGAAGCAACAGGCCAAGGTGTGTAAGCCTGCTGGCCGGTGGTAGTGCCTCAGTGGGGGCCAGTGACCCTGCCTTCAGTCACACACTAGCAGCTACCCTGGTACCTGGGAGGAAGGGACGGGGCCTGTGTGTTCCTGCCTGGCCTGTGAGGTGTGTTGTGGGATGACCGTGTGTGTGGGACTCTCAAGATTTTATCCTAGATCGCCACTGGATTGCCGATAGATAGAGGAGGTGGGACCCTGACTATCACCCCTGCTCTGCAGTGGACTTGGCTCTCGGCACTCCCAGGCTGGGAGCTGGATGCCCTGCCCCAGCAGCATGACTCAGACTGCACAACAGGTACAGTATGCCCAGGATGACGTTCCTAGACCTCTGGCCGCCTCACAGTCCAGCCCCACACACAATGCCCTCTAAGCTTCCAGCTCCTACACCATAAACCATGAGCTCTCTGCCCTCTCTGACAGCTCCAGAGAGTACCCACGTATGCCAGCTTGGGCATGGAGCCTGTTCCAAGAGCTCACAGGCTCAGCCATGGGGGCTGGGGGGCCTTGGGGCTGTGGGGGCCAGCCCTGGTACCTGTGTCCAGCTTGGACGCTCTACACCTGCAGCCAGGAGTCATCCACGGGCCCCCGTGGGCGTGCTGATGGTGGTCATGTTGATATCGCCAATGATGCTGGGCGCCTCCCTCAGTACATGGTGCATGCACAGCATCTCGTTGCACTGCTGTGCCTACTCTGCTGACCCCTCCATCAGCATGTTCTTGTCTCCATGTGAGTACAGGGTGGCCAGCAGCTCCAAGATGATGAACTCCTTGGTCTGAGAGTGGGCATAGAGGGAAGGAGGTTGGGACCTGATGCCTGTGCCACCCTGGCCACCCCACCAGGCCCTGCTGTACTGTATGCTGGACTTGGAGCCCCGAGAATGGCTTTTCAGATGTGGCTTCTACACCACTTAGACTTGAAGACCTGCCTCCCCACCACATTTTCTCACTCAGATGGGGACAGAGGTCCAGAGGAAAAGTCACCTGCCCAAGGTCACAGATCTGGGAGGGGAGCCAGGACCTATCATGCCAGCAGGACACCTGTCTACTCAGTTTTTAATTTTTGGAGATAGGATCTTGCTCTGTTGCCAGGCTGGAGTACAGTGGGTGACATCACTGCTCACTGCAGCCTCAACCTCCTGGGCTCAAAGTGACCCTCCAACGTTAGCCTATTGAGTAGCTAGGACTACAGGCACATGCCACCACCAGGCCCAGCTATTTTTTAAATGTTTTTGTAGAGACCAGGTTTCACTATGTTGCCCAGGCTGGTCTGAAACTCCTGGGCTTAAGTGATCCTTCTGCCTTGGCCTCCCAAAGTGCTGGGTTTACAGGCATGGGCCACTGTGCCCAGTTCCACGTTATAGTTCTATGGGACAGCTCTGGTCTTGACTGTGCCCCTCTCCCTGGACCTGGTCCCACAGGGCTGGTTGGCATCTCTGTCAGGCCAACACAGCCACCTGCATCCCCAGTGCCACAGGAGCCCCCTACCCCCATGAGGCGGTGCATGCACATTGTTGATCATGAGGTGTGTGGTGGTTTTGGGCACGAGACCAACCATGAAGTCCCACACGGTCTTGTTGACAAAGGCCACATAGGAGTCCACAAGGCTCTGAGTGGTCTCCATTTGCTGCTCCAGCTGTGGGCCCATGGAGTGCATGAAGCTGTCAGAGCCATTCTCCTCAGTCTTGCTGGTCTGCCATGGAGAACACAAGGGCATCAGGGTGGCCAGGCCATGCAGCCAGGCTCCAGGCATCCCCAGGATCTCAGCTCCTCCAAGCGTACATGGAACGTTGAGGCACAAGGAGAAGCAACTGGCCAGAACACACACCCAGCTCCCCACACACTCTAGAGGGTTTCACATCTCTGCCTCTCAGGACCCCAGACACCACTGATCAAGCCTCATCTTAGTTTTGACTCTAGTACCCAGAATTTGCCTCCATTTTCCCAATCTGGAAATTGGAAAAGAACATCTCCAGGTCCCTTGCTAGAAGACCTGGCCAGAGTTGGTGCCAGGCTCCCCTTGTCCTGGGAAGTCCATACACCAACACTGCCACCACCACTGCCTCCTGGGAGCACAGCCAAAGTAGATACACACAGAAAAAGGGGAAGGGTTGAGTGAACCTGGGACACTGCACCCCAAATTTAATGTGTTGATGAATTCAATTTGCTAATGTTTTGTGGAGGATTTTTGCATCAATACTCATCAGTGATATTGGCCTGTAGTTCTCTGTTTTGGATGTATCTTTGGTTTTGGTATCAGGGTAATGCTGGCCTTGTAGAATGAGTTTGGAATAGTTGGGTAAGGTCTCTAGTTTTGGAATAGTTTGGGTAAGGTTGGTATGAGTTCTTCTTTAAATGTTTGGTAGAATTCAGCAGTGAAGCATCAGGTCCCAGGCTTTTCTTTGCTGGGAGACTTTTTATTACTGCTTCGATCTCATTGTTTCTTATTGGTCCGTTCAGGTTTTGGATTTCATCATGGTTCAATCTTGGCAGGCTGGATGTGTCTACAAATTTATCCATTTTTAGTAGGTTTTCCTATTTCTTTGCACACAGTTACTTATGATTATTATTATTATTATTATTTTTTGAGACAGAGTCTTGCTCTGTCACCCAGGCTGGAGTGCAGTGCCATGATCTCGGCTCACTGCAACCTCCACCTCCTGGGTTCAAGTGATTCTCCTGCCTCAGTCTCCCAAGTAGCTGCGATTATAGGTGTGTGCCACTACACTCAGCTAATTTTTTTGTATTTTTAGTAGAGACAGGTTTCACCATGTTGGTCAGGCTGGTCTCAAACTCCTGACCTTGTGATTCACCCGCCTCAGCCTCCCAAAGTGCTGGGATTACAGGTGAGAGCCACCATACCTGGCCTTGCATACAGTTGCTTATAATAGCCACTAGTGATCCTGTGAATTTTTGTGGTATCAGTTGTAATGTTTCCTTTTTCATCTTTGATTTTATTCACTTGAGTCTTCTTTTTTCTTAGTCTTAGTTAGGCTTAAAGTTTGTCAAAGTTGTTTATCTTTTCCAAAAACCAACTTTTCATTTCATTGATGCTTTTTATTGTTTTCTTCATTTCAATTCCATTTATTTCTGCTCTGATCTTTACTATTTCTTTTCTTCTACTAATTTTGGGTTTGGTTTGCTCTTGCTTTTCTATTTCTTTAAGATGCATTGTTAGGTTGTTTATTCGATGCTTTTCTACTTTTTAAAAATAGGTGTTTGTAGCCATAAAGTTCCCTCTTAGCACTGCTTTTGTCATATCCCGTACGTTCTGGCGTGTTGTGTTTCCATTATAATTTAAGAAATGTTTCAACTTCCTTCTTAATTTCTTCACTGACCCACTGGTCATTCCAGAGCATATTATTTAATCTCCACGTGTTTATATAGTTTTCAACATTTCTCTTATTACTAACTTCTAGTTTTATTCCATTGTGATCAGAGATGATGTTTGAAATTATTTCATTTTTTTCTAACATTTTAAGATGTGTCGTGTGACCTAAGATATGGTCTATCCTTGAGAATGATCCATGTGCTGAGGAAAAAAATGTGCATTCTGTAGCCCAAGGGAGAAGACACCCGCCCCCACTCTGCTGCAACACACAGCGCTCTGCTCAGGGATGGGGCAGTGGTGTGCTGTTGTTACCCAAGGGGCTCTCTGTCGGGGAGGGAACAGAGTCTGTTCTGTAGTGTTTGCTATTTTCTATGGTTCAAATATTCCATGGCTGATTTCAAGCTGCCACCATCTTCTCAGCCTGGGCTTGTTTGTACCCACCGTTGGGAAGGCTTTCCAGGTATTTGAAAGGATGTGGGTGTTGTGATCTAAACTGTATCTTTCTTAGGGGACACTCCAAGCCCAGTTATGCTACGGTTCTGGCAGACTCATAGAGGAACTGCCTTGGTGGTCTTGGACAAGATCTGGAGGAATTTTCTGAGCTACCAGCCAGTAGAGACTCTTATTCTCTACCTGTAATTTCTCTCCAAAAAACAGTCTCTGTGTCTGTCTCTCTGTCTCTGTCTCTCTCTGTCTCTCTCTGTCTCTCTCTCTCTCTCTCTCTGGTGAGCCACTTGGAGCTGGCGGTGGGCTGACACAATATCCCTGTGGCCACCACCACTGGGACTGCACTGGGTCAGACCTAAAGCCAGCAAAGCACTGGGTCTCACTCAAAGCTCACTGTCAATACTACCTGCTATCGCCTATGTTCACTCGAGGCTCTGGGGCTCTACAGTCAGCAGGTAGACTTCTCTTCAGGGCAATGAGTTCCCTCAGGCCCTGGTGGGTCCGGAGATGCTGTCTGGGAGCCAGGGACTGGAGTCAAAAACCTTAGAAATTTACCTGGTGCTTTATTCTAAGGCGGCTGAGCTGACACCGAAACCATGAGACAAAGTCCTTCCCACTCTGCCTTTCCCTTTCCACAGGCAGAGGAGCCTCACCCTGTGGCCACCACCACAGGCCCACAGGGAGTGCTGCCAGGCTACTGTGGATGTTTACTTAGGGCACAAGGGCTCCTAAGTCACTTGTGGTGAATGCTTCCAGGCCCGGGACTCACCCTTCAGGGCAGTGGGCTCCCCTCTGGCCCAGGGCAGGCCCAGAAATGCTGTTTAAGAGCCAAGGCCTAGAATCAGTGACCACAGGAGCCCATTTGGTGCTCTCTACCCCATTGTGGCCAGGCAGGCACCTAAGCTGCAAGACAAAGTCCCTTTTACCTTTCCCTCTGCTTTTCTCAAGCAGAAGAAGTCTCTCACCACAGCCACCATAGCTGGGAATGTGCTGGGTCTCCCCCGAAGCCAGCATGTCTCAGAGCCTTACTCCAGGCCCATCGCATACTACCTGGGTATCACTGTTGGCTATTCAGGGCCCAAGGCTCTTGAGTTGGCAGGTGATAAATCCTGCCAGGACTGGGTTCTTTCCTTTAGAGCAGCAGATTCCCTTCTAGCCCAGGGTGTATCTAGAAAGGTAATTCAGGAGCTAGGTCCTGGAATGGGGGCCTCTCAACTCTGACAGGTGCTCTGTCCTACTGTGGCTGAGCTGGTATCCAAAATGTAAGACAAAGTCCTCTTTACTCTTCCCCTTCCTCTCCTCAAGCAAAAGGAAGGAGTCACTTTAGTTGGTGCAAGCTGTGTTGCCTGGGGTTGGGGGAGGGGTGGTGCAACACTCCCTTGGCTGCCCTGGCTGGTATCTCTCTAGGTCTTGTGCCCCCTGAGTCCACTGGCTCTGAGCCCAGCATGGCATTGGAACTTGCCTAGGAGTTGAAGTCCTTATGGTCTAGACTGCCTTTCAAGTTTATTTAGGGCCCCAGAGCATTATAGCCTGCCATGCCAAGGCTTGTCAAAACCCAAGCCTCAAGCCTTCTAACTACTGGGATGGGTGAACCCCTCTGGGTAGGGCTGGTCTAAATGCTCCCTCCATGGGCAGGTGTCATGTGAGTTCCACCTGGTTTTGCTTTCTCCTGTGACAGAGCAGCACTGAGTTCAGTGCAAAGTCTCACAGTTGCTGCCTTCTCCCTCTCCCAGGTGCAGATTCTCAGCACCACAGCAGCCGCTGCTGGGTGAGGGGGAGGGGTGACATTGGTGTTTCAACACTGGTTCTCCTACCCTTTTCAGTGCCTCTTTCAGCGACATGAAGTTAAACCCAGGTATTGTGAGTCCTCGCCTGATTTTTGGTTCTTATGAAGATGGTTTTCTGGTGGAGACGGTTGTGAAATTTTATTTTCCTGCAGGGGGACTGATTGGTAGAGACTACTATTCAGCCATCTTGCTCTGCCCCTCCCCACTTACTTCACTTCAATTACTTCCTAGGAGCCCTGTTTTTAAATACAACTACATAGGGGGTTAGGGCTCCAACATAAGAATTTTGGGGAGACACAATTCGGTCTATAGCATTTGGACTTGGGGAGAGGGAGTAAGAGAACATGCACAGGAAGTTCACAGTGTAAGCAACAGTATGGAGGTGGGAAAGTTCAGCTCATGGATAGGAAAAATTGATCCAATTAGGCAGGACCCACAGGGAGATGTGGTGGGATGGTGAGAGGTGGGCCACATCAAAAGGACCTTGAATGCCAGGCTGAGGTGAGACACATTTCCTGTTGTGTAGAAGGTGCCATAGGGTGGTGAGAGGTGGGCCACATCAGAAAGAACCTTGAATGCCAGGCTGAGGTGGGAGGCATTTCCTGTTGTGTAGAAGGTGCCATGAGGTGGTGGGGAGGGTAACATGATGAAAGGATATTTGGGAGGATGGATCTGGCATCAGTGATGGGTGGGGGTAAGGACTGAACAAAGCTGGAGGCCAGGAAGCTGCACACATGGCCCAGAATTCAGGCTTAGGCTGTTCAAAGGTAGTTTCCACACTGAGTTCCCATGTGGATCCAAGCATGCAGGGGGTAGATGATTTGGAAAAGCAAAACCATTCTCTTCCCATCACCACACAGTTTCCCAGCTGAGCTCATCACCAGAGCCTTACAAATCAGACAGTTGACCTGCCCCAAACTCTGTCCCTAGAAGCTGTGACCCAGAGGGAGCTCTTTTCCAGCTGTAGCCCTGGGACACTGCAGCCTGAGCAGGACTACACCTGTTCCCTCCCAGGAGCCTCATCTCCGTCTGGCCTGGCTTTGGCTCAAATGCCCTCAGCTTTGGCTTCAAAATCTGTTGGGTCAGATTCATGAGAGCTCTGGCCTTCTTTGGTTTACGGATTTTTAAATAGTTTTTTTCAGCTGGTGGTAGATGAGCTCTGCTTGCTTACCTCTAAGAATTGGTTGGAACTCACAGAAATCTGTTATACTCACAGTTATGGCTTGATTACATGGAAAGGATAAAAATTAAAATCAGCCAGGGGAAGAAAGGCGTAGGGCTGAGTCCAAGAGGACACCAGTCATGGAGTGTCCATTATCCCTTCCCCATGCAGTCAGAGTCATATACAGTTTGTTTTCCCTAAGAAATCATTAACAGAACAATCTGCAAACATTTCAAAATTTAAAAACATACTTAATAATCCATGGGTCAGGTTGGGTGCAGTGGCTCACGCGGGTAATCCCAACACTGTGGGAGGCCAAGGTGGGGGGATCACCTGAGGCCAGGAGTTCAAGACCAGCCTGGCCAACATGGAGAAACCCCATCTCCAGTGAAAATACAAAAAAATTAGCTGGGCATGGTGGCGGGCACCTGTAGTCCCAGCTAACCAGGAGGCTGAGGCAGGAGAATCACTTGAACTCGGGAGACAGAGGTTGCAGTGAGCCGAGATCATGTCATTGCACTCCAGCCTGGGCAACAACAGCGAAACTCCATCTTGAAAAATAATAATAATAATAATCCATGGGTCAAAGAACAATTCTCAAGAGAAATTACACAATATTTTGAACATAAATGAAAACACACCAAAATTTGTGGGTTTAATTAAAGCACTGCTTAGAGGAAAATTTATAGCCTCAAATGATGACATATTAAAAAAAGATAGATGTAAATCAGCAATCTACGTTTCCACCTTAAGAAACTAGAAAAAGAGCAAAGTGAACGCAAAACAAGCCAAAGGGACAAATGACAAGATAAAAGCGGAAATCAATGAGATTGAAAGCAAAAATCAAGGGAACAATTAATGAAATTAAAAGATTGTTCTTTGAAAAGATCAACAACATTGAAAAACTCTAGCAAAATTGACAAAGAAAAAAGCAGAAAAGATACAACTTATCAGTATCAGGAATGAATGAAGGGACATCACCGCAGGCCCCACAGACTTCAGACAGGTTAGCAAGAGAACACCACGGAAAACTAGACATGTGAAAATCAGACAATGTAGACAAGTAAAGCAATGTCTGAGCGCCACAAACCAGGAAAATCCTCCTAGAAACAAACAGGCAATCTGAATAGTTCTATATCTGTTAAAGAAATGGAATTCGTCAAATCTTTTTTTTTCTTCCCTTGAGCTGGAGTTTCGCTCTTGTTGCCCCAGCTGGAGTGCAATGGTGCGATCCCGGCTCACTGCAATCTCTGCCTCCCGGGTTCCAGCGATTCTCCTGCCTTAGCCTCCTGAGCAGCTGGGATTACAGGCGCACGCCACCAAGCTCGACTAATTTTTTCTATTTTTAGTAGAAATGGGGTTTCAACATGTTAGCCAGGGATGGTCTCAAACTCCTGACCTCAGATGATCCACCCTCCTCGGCCTCCCAATGTGCTGGGATTACCGGCATGAGCCATTGCACCTGGCGTAAAATCTTATAGAAAGAAATCTCCAGGCTCAGATGGATTCAAAAACATGTAAAGAAGAAATAACACTAATTCTACACAATCCCTTATAGAAAATGGAAACAGAGAGAATACACGCCAATACTTTGTATAAGTTCAGCTTTCCCCTGACAGGAAGTCAGACAAGACAGTATAATACAAAGAAAGACAACCACAAACCAACATCCCTGATGAGCATCAACAGAAAAATCCTCAACAACATGTTAGTAAGTCAAAGTTAACAATATAGAAACAGAACAGGACCGGGCGCGGTGGCTCACGCCTCTAATCCCAACACTTTGGGATGCCAAGGAGGGTGGGTCACTTGAGGTCAGGAGCTGGAGACCAGGCTGGCCAACATGATGAAACCCCATGTCTACCAAAAAAATAAATAAAATAAAAACAAAAATTATCCAGGCGTGGTGGTGCACACCTGTAATCCGAGCTACTCAGGAGGCTGAGGCAGGAGAATTGCTTGAACCCAGGAGGCAGAGGTTGCAGAGAGCTGAGATTGCACCAATGAACTCCAGCCTGGGTGAAAGAGCGAGACTCTGTTTCAAAAAAAAAAAAAAAAAGAAAAAGAAAAGGGAAGAAATAGGGTGGTAAATTGTGGCCAAGTGACACCTATCCCAGTAATACAAGGCTTGGTCAGTATTTAAAAATCAGGCTGGTGCTGTGTCTCACACCTGTAATCCCAGCACTTTGGGAGGCCAAGGCAGGTAGATCACTTGAGCTCAGGAGTTCAAGACCAGCCTTGGCAACATAGTGAAACCTTATGTCTAAAAAAGAAAAAAAAAAGTTTAAGAAAAAAAAGTAAAAATCATCAATGTATACACCATACTAACACACTAAAGAAGGAAAACTGCAGGACCATTTCATTTGAGAAGATTAAAAGCATTTAACAAATTTTAACATCCACTCAGGATATTTTAAAAGCTTCTAAAAGGGGGAATTAAATAAACTGCCGGCCGGGCGCGGTGGCTCAAGCCTGTAATCCCAGCACTTTGGGAGGCCGAGACGGGCGGATCACGAGGTCAGGAGATCAAGACCATCCTGGCTAACACGGTGAAACCCCGTCTCTACTAAAAAATACAAAAATCTAGCCGGGCGAGGTGGCGGGCGCCTGTAGTCCCAGCTACTCGGGAGGCTGAGGCAGGAGAATGGCGGGAACCCGGGAGGCGGAGCTTGCAGTGAGCTGAGATCTGGCCACTGCACTCCAGCCTGGGCGACAGAGCGAGACTCTACCTCAAAAAAAAAAAAAAAAAAAAAAAAAAGAAACTGCCTTAATCTGGTAATAAGGCATCTACATAAACACTGCAGCTAACATCACAGCCGATGGTGAAAGACTGAACTGCCTTCCTCTACAGTCAGGAGCAAGGCCCACTGTCACCTGTCCTACTCAGCTTCACACCGCAAGTCCTGGCCAGGGCAATCAGGCTGGGAAAAGACATCAAAGGCAAGCAGATTGGAAAGGAAGAAATGGAACTGCCCCTCTATACAGATAGTATAATTGTCCATGAAGAAAACCCAAGGAAACTACAATGAAGCTCACAATAAATGAGTTTAGCACAACTGCAGGATGTAAGAACAACAAACAAAACTCAGTGGTATTTTCTATATACCGGTAATGAACAACTGGTAACCAAAATCCTCCAAAATACGAAATCAAGCTCTATATTCTGTACCTGGGCAGGCCCACAGGCAATTCCCACTGTGTGTTTGGTGTCCAGTCCCGGCAATGCTGCAGGTCCTGGCTTGGTCACGTGCAAGGTGTCAAAGTGCTGGCACTGGCCGTTGCTCCTCCAGCTGTGGACCTCGCTGTCCTCAGTCAGAGCCAGGCAGTGGGTGGAGCCGGCAGCCACATCAGTCACCTTCTTCCCTACAAGGAAAGAGGGATGCAGATGCAGCTTCAAGCCTATGACTTCTGCTGCAAGAAAGACAGGTATTTCCACTAGGCCATTCAGGCCAGAAAGCTTTTAATATTAACTTCTTGAGGATAATCTGTTGCTTTAATATTAAGCACAATTCATTTGCCTTGGGTATGTTATTAAAACTCCTGTATTTTGTTAGCTACAATTTGTTAGAACCCACAGCCTACAAATATCATAAAGCTAGGATATGAAAAGGACCTGTTCTTTTTTCTCCTCCTCATTCAGATTTTCATTCAGAGAGAAACAAGGTGCTTTTAGTTAACTATTAGATCATATTCTCCCATCCCAGACATAACAATACACAGCACACTCTTCACTGAGGAAGGCTTCCTAAGAGGAAATCTATTTTTCTCTCAGAGTTAGGTGATATCAATATTTAAAACATTGTTTCTATTTAAACACTTCTTGTGTTTACCAGGAACACGAAATATTCTATTTTTCCTTCCTGGTAAATCTAACATGGCCAACACAAAGGGTGTTTCTCAGAAATGTCAACATATAAAATAATCCAGCTGAAAAACCACACTGCAGTAAGGGGAACAATTCTATCCTAGGATCCTACCATAAGTTCACATCAGCAACAACAACAGGTGTTTATCAACAGGAATTTAAACACTCTGAAATTAAACGATTTCTATATCTAATGACCGTCATAGCTTTCCTATACTAATGGAGGGGAATATAAACAAGAAGGCACATAAATTCAAACACCATTCAATGACACAGAGGAAACTTAATACTCTGCCACTTATCTCAGAAGCTCAGAACATAATACATACCGTATGGGCACACAAAACTCTCAGTCATCAAGATACTAACATGTGTTAAAATAAAACTCATGGAGAAAGGAACTGGTAAGTCTCACTTAAAAGTCCCACTTCCAAACCCACTTGGTAAACAAGCAAACACACAAAGAATGTGTGTAGTACCAGGACCCAACGAACTACAGCCCCCACACAGAGTGCAGCCCAAGGCCTGCTTCTGTGAAGACACTTGTGTTGGAACTCAGCCAGGTCCACCTGCTGCAAATACAATCCGGCCCTTTAAGAAAAAGGCCGCCCACCCTGAGAGAGAGAACCCTGAAGAGTCCATCTGATGTACCGCTCGCTGCCTTTTCCCTTCTTCCCTACTTTCTTTTCAGCTTGCCTGCCCTTCACCAGTTCTTGACTAGGATGAAGACTGTCTCCCAACCACTAGGCCAAATGGTACAGAAAAGTCCAGTTTTACCTTAGAAAATACCTCCACCATCATAGTTTTCATGGCCCCCACCCCAACTTCCTGCAGCATAACATCCCTAGTAAGAACACCATAGAAGAATTTCAGGGTCTTCTTGCGGAGGCCCCCATCCTCTCTGCCTGCACCCACAGCCCACACTGAAGGCGCCGGCACTCATATCTACACATCTCGGCTTCCATCTGTTCCCTCCAACTACAATGCACGCTGGACACCTTTGCAACTGAGCAAGCAGGAATCCCCCACCAAGGACCAGTTCACATCAGAGCGTCCCAGGTGGACCCAATCCCACCTCCCAATGTGGCCCCACAGCACAACGCACCCTCACGGTCTCAGTGTGTCTGCAGTACAAGTACAGGTGATCTCACCACGCAGAGGGAACCCTTCCTGAGTCCAGCCTGCTGAGTGATGCATGGGTGCCTGCCACGGAGAGTGGCGATGTTTGTAAAACTCAATGGGTTTAAATTAAATTTGGTAAGAATAATTCAAAGTCATTTGTAATAGAGACACACCCACTTTCCAGTTAGTATCAATCCCTGTACCAAGCCGGCTCTCAAAATTTCTAATGACAGTCCATTCATGGAATGTCAGGTCAAGAACACAAAACCTGCAAACTTTAAAACATCACTAAAGAAACCGTCCTGAAGGGTTTTAACAGTTTATGTTTGCACTCACCTCGCAAGCCTTCTAAGAGTTTTGGATAACGAACATGTACCTCTGGTCCGTGTCCAAGTCTCTGGTTGTCACCTTTTCCCCATGAATAAACTTGGCCATCTTTCGTCAAAGCAATGGAAAACTGACTTCCACAGCGGACTCTGACCACATCCAAGTCCTGAAGCTTTTCAATCAGCTTTGGGGTTTTGCAGCCATCACTACCACCTCTGCCCAATTTCCCACAGTCACCATCTCCCCAAGACCACACTTGCCCTAAAAAATACAAATGCATTTAAATAACAACAACTGTGCATTTTAATGAAACATTTTAAATGACTGACAATAATCTAATGAAAAACGCACACTAATGTAGACCACCCATGTGCACAGTTAATACTACAAGGGAGGCTACTGAGCAAATGAAATCTAGGTGACACCTGAGGTTGATACAGAAGCAAGCAAGAAAGGGAAGGGGGAGTTTTCTTTTTGTTTGCATTACATGAAAAACCAAGTCGTGACTCTTACTAGCCTGGGCTCAATGTTCACTGCTTCACAGAACCAAAGGCCCACTGCCCCCGTGACACACAGTAACGGGGGCCCGGCACACTGCAGACGCTTGCGGACCACCCTCCCTCCCATTTGCCTAACTGCTTATGTTGCCACCGTGCTGACCGCTGGTCAATCGTAACACTGTACGTGTTCCCAACTGCATATATCAGCATAATTATGTAAGTTGATTAAATATTACATAAAGGGACAAAATACAACTGCAAAAATAAATATTTTTATTTTTACTGTGAAAAATAAGCTGAAAACTTTGCAAAAACTTAATGAAAGTGAATTGCTAAAAAACAAAATTGTTAGGCTGGGCACGGTAGCTCACGCCTGTAATCTCAGCACTCTGGGAGGCCAAGGCTGGCAGATCACTTCAGCCCAGGAGTTCGAGACCAGCCTGGGCAACATGATGAAACCCTGTCTCTACTGAAAATACAGAAATTAGCCAGGCAAGGTGGTGAACATCCATAATCCAGCTGAGGCACGAGAATTGCTTGACCCCAGGAGGTGGAGGTTGCAGTGAGCCGAGACTGCACCACTGCACTCCAGCCTGGGTGACAGAGCGAAGCTCTGTCTTCCAAAAAAAAAAAAAAAGTGAAATTACATAAAGGTGAAAACTGTAAAAGATCAGGAAAAAGAAACCAGAGAAGATATCAGATTGCTCCACAAGTTCCCACATTCTATTTTGTAATAACTAAAGACAGGCAAGTATTTTCCTCAATGATCAGATTGTGAATATTTTTAGCCTCTGTGGGCTTTCTCTCCCCATGACCCAGCTGTGCCACTGTCACAGGAAAGCAGCCACAGACAATATGTGAATGAGTAGGCAGACCTGCACACCAATACAACTCCACCTGCAAAAGCTGGCCGACCCCGAGCGAATCGGAAACTGGAGATGACACACTATGACGTGGTCAATGAAAGCAGCACAGCAGACCTGCACACAGAGATCAGAGGTGCACTTTCACACGCTGTGCTGAACATTATGCTGTTCACGTAGTCCGCCTGGCTATTTCCCACCGTCCCCCAAGGCCAGACTGCAGGGTAGGATACTTCTACAGTAACAGTCGCCTCAGAAAATAACGGCACAGCAGAGACACTTCCCTACAAGATCTGCACCAAAGAAACACCAGTGTGAGGAAGACACTGTCCGCAGCCTGTTCAAGGCAGTTTACTCAACGTATCATCATAAACTTCACCTAAAGTAGCAACTGCACTAAAGAACGCAAGGCTAGAATCCTAACACAGCTCCGACCTCACAAAACTTTTAACCAGGAAATATTTTAAGGTCTACCACTCACTCGATATCGATAAAATAGATATTTTTAAAAGACGAGATGTCAAATGGAAAGCTTGACAGCAGGAGCCTTTCAGAGGAGACCACCTTCGCTCTAGGACTCACAGTAGCAGAAACAGGATGGCTCTGACAATGTCTGTCCCGGCAACGGCAGCGGGACCTATACATATAGGGAAGTATCTGAAATGATTTTTCATCTTTCACCTAAGAAATGCCCAAAAGTCACTCAATTATCAATCTCCATTCAACTTCTGCAGGAGAGAAAGCAAGCTGACAGGTCCCCAGCTGATTTCACAGAAAGACTCCACAACGGCAGAGACACACAAGATGCCAAGGACAGACCCCCACAATACTGACAGACGAGTCGTTTCTAAAAAATTAATGTGACTTTAACCATCAAACCTCATCATGTACCCCTGAAAAAAGATGAGGATGATCTCAGGAACACAAACACAAAAGCAAAATTCAAAGCAAGCAGATACCGCAGCGTCAGACTATAGAACACGGAAAGACTTAGCAGGAATTACCACATGGAATCAAGAGTGGCTGAACATTAAGAAATGTAACAATACTAACCAGAGACAATTCAAAGTGTCATTCATTCCATTCCAACTCTCAATCTTAAAAAAATAAAATGCCCACACAGGAATGCCCACACAGCTGCTAATCTGCTGACAGGCCCCAGGCAAACAAGCCCTGTCAATTCAATAAGCTCTCACCTCAACTACTTAGATAAACAACAGCAAAATAAACTCAAAGCAAGCATAGGGAAGAAAATACTATAAATATATGTATATACACATATATAACCACCGGGGCCTCTTCACCAATGCCACTGATCCCACACCCACTGGACAACAGGGTGGGCGGCCTCGTGAGGCCCACTGTACTCATCTCACTTCCTCCAGGGAAGCTGCCATGCGTGTCCTCGAGGCCCTGTCCTGGGTGGCAAGAGCTCTGTGTACCGTTCTCAGTGACAGCCAGGGTTTGAGCGTCCCCACTCCCACACGCCACATGGATGACCTTCAGTCCTTTAAGCGCAGCTACCAGCATTGGAATGGCCTCGTCCTCACTGGAGCCTTCAAACAGATAGGACGGCTGTTCCTAAGTCCTGTGAGAGGCCACCTCCTGCTGCATGCTCCCACTCATGCAGGGCAGACGCACCGCGGCCCAGCCGGCCGTAGTTCCCGCAGACCCCGGTGTACAGCTCCCCCTCGGCAGTGATGGCTGCGCTGTAAGTGCTCCCGCAAGCCATATGCACCCCGTGCTTCCCAGCCTGCTTTCCAGAGAAGGCGGAGATCACCTTAGGCTCCTCCAGAGGCCTTGGGGAGGAAGGGAATAAACATGAATGCCCTTCTTCTTGGTGTTATTTCTTATGAGTGTTAGCAAAGGAAATTCACTATCCAAATGGAGACCATGAGAGCATCAGGCCAGTTTCACCTTCCAGGTACCTTATAAAATAAGAGAGAATTTGAACACCTAACACCTCCATGACTTTTTGTTAAATTGGAACCCGACACCAAGCATGGTATCCAGTAGAATTACAAAAACAGTGTGAAAGACTTGTACAATAGGCCGGGCACGGTGGCTGACACCTGTAATCCCAGCACTTTGGGAGGCTGCGGTGGGCGGATCACCTGAGGTCAGGAGTTTGAGACCAGCCTGGCTAACGTGGTGAAACCTCATCTCTACTAAAAATACAAAATTAGCTGGGAATGGTGGCGGGCCCCTGTAATCCCAGCTAACTAGAAGGCTGAGGCAGGAGAATCGCTTGAACCCGGGAGGCGGAGGTTGCAGTGAGCTGAGATCACGCCACTGCACTCCAACTTGGGCAACAAGAGCAAAACTCCATCTCAAAAAAAGAGACTTGTACAGTAAAGTCCATTGCAGCTTTCTTCACAATGGCCCAAAGCCATGGTCCATCTGCACCAGAAGGAAGGAATTACCCACACACCCAGCAACGCGGCTGGACCTCAGGACATCATGCTACGTGAAAGACGCCAGAAACAAAACACCACGCGCGGTATGGCTTTGTTTACCTTCAGTTATGGAAAAGACAAAATAGTAACAACAGAGGGCAGATCGGACGTTGTCAGAACTGGAGGAGGAAGTGGGGATCAACTCAAAGGGTACAAACAGGGCCCTGGAAGCGACGGGCACGCCTCATGTCTTGATGGTGGTGACTCCCCAGCTGAGGGCACTGGCCAAAACCCATCCAACTCTACACCCGAAACTCAGTCATCTGGTTGTACGTAAGCCTCAAAGCTGACTGACATTTATAGGTATTTGTTAAATGAATGTGGATGGAATGAAGCCAGCACTCTGCAGTCTGTATTTTACAAATGAAAAGTATGAGGCAGTGGGGATTAGGGTAGAGACATCTTACTAGTTGAAGAAATTGCAAAGTTAACATAATATCCTATCCCTAGGATCCAGAATACGTTCCTAGGATGGATGACATTTTCTTGAGAATCGATAGAAGCCAGGCTTCTCCAAAGGCATGGTTTACTCACTTTGTGACCTACTAGTTTGCAAAATACACACAGTGGCACAGGCGCACACAGCGACAGTCCAATGACTCTATCCAGTACAACCTCTCCCTTATTCAGCTTAAGCTTCAACTTCCCCAAAAGGTTATCTCCAGCTTCTGCCATCCGCACTGATCTCTCTTCCTTCCTTGAAGTCCTAGAATAAGGGATAAGTTACTCATCCCAGCACTTACTCTGCACTGAGAATTGCTTTACTATGAAACATTTTATACAAAGTCAGTAATAAATACCTAAAGGAAATAAGCAGACACACCACCCTGTCCTGTACCTCAATGCCTTTCAAGTCCCGTGTACCCCATGCCAATCCCAGCCCTTAGGATCCAGTGTGAGAGTAACAGCTATAAATTCCATGGAGATCGAACTTTTGTTTTTCACTCGTTTTACATTTGTCTGAATCCCTTACAGCACTGTCAGGGTTGGGCTGTTCTGAGCTTGGCATACATGCACCACACGATACACATCACTCTGCTTTTCTCCCAGTTTGGGATCTTCCCAGCGGATGCTGTCAGCAATGATGCCCTCAACTCCACCCTGTGGTGTGCATGGCCCATGCCCTTCAGGCTCCTCTCAAGGGACACAAGGGCAGTCATGACTACGCTCATTTCACGTTCTGCACTGTTCGCTCCCTGCTCAGGGCTCCGGCCCACATGAAATGGGCTTGCTGGGTTGGTGTGTACATACATCCTTCATTTAAACCTAATGCCAGAGTTCCACGCACAACAGCAAAGCACAAGAGGGTTCCCATCACTCCACAGGGCTGGCAGACCTCCCAATTTTTACAACCTGGCATTTATAACAACTTTATTTCTGTTTTTTCCACAATAAAAGGTTCCACCGAATAGGATAATATTAAGAAGAAACTGCTGACTTTTGTTCCTGTAAAAATAATCTAACGGTTCAAGGAAAGGGAGACAACCTTATCTATGGGAGACAGGGGGAACTGTTTGTGAATGGATGAACAGTGCTGTGGGATTTGTTCTGGCAAACTCCACAGTGGGGATGCGGTTTGAGTAGAGAGAAGGCGACCAAACCTGCGCGGGGTGGAGAAGAGCAGAAAGGCCGATTCCTGTTGCCTTCCACACATGGGCAGAGAGTTCCTAAGCCATCACCAAGGAGGGGACATACCCTAGTGTCTCGCTCCCCCCCAGCGCTGCACGTCAGGGCGGCTGGAAAATACCTGCACACACTCCTGCGCTCCAGCCTGTCGAAGATATGGCAACATAAAAGAGGAGTGTGTTCCCCTGCAGGAATCAGCGATATATACACAGTGTCCCCATGGCCCAGCCGTCCTCTGTCCCCAAAGCCCAGGAGTACACCTCTCCAGTGGCAGCCAAGGCTATGCAGTGGTGACTATCAGAATGGGCAGCAATTTTTACAATGTTTCTGGAGGCAAGGCCTTGGACCAGCTGTGGGGCCTAAAAAAAGAAAAATAGGAAGAAAACTCCTCATCAGTCCAAGGAAAATGAAATCAGCACAGCTCTCCTTTATCGTGTGTCCCCGAGCAAAGCCTGCTCTAATGGGAAGTGGGGCATAAGTGTCTGCGGGCCACGGGGCGGCTCTCCAGCCCTTCCCACCCAGCACCAACAGAACAGCGGGCAGCCTCCAAGTGCTCCGCGGCAAGACCAGAGCCGATGCAGGGGCAGGGCAGGCTAACCCCTTGCGACAGAGACATGCAGCCGACAGGAGGAACACCCTGCTTTAATGAAAACGTGCCACGTCCCAATTTGCCACTATCCCCATGAGGCCCAACTCCCTCATCTGTCACCTGCCTGGCCACAAAGTCAAATGAGTTTACACATGGAAGATGAGTTTACAAACGGGAATCTCATGATTAGCAATGAGTTTCACTGTAAGGACTTCCTAACCTCCACAACCCAAATCTTCACAATATTACAGCTGAGACCATTAAACACAATATACAATAAACAGAAGCTTATCAATCTTCAGAAACCAAATGGCTTCAAGAAAGACCAGAGCTTGTGCATCTGCAGTACAGACCCTGCCCCGCAAGGGAGCACTGCAGGCACAGGGCCCAGAACACTCACCAGTGTGTCACTATTGTAGGCCTGTGTGTGCACGCGGCCACTGTGTGACAGAATCAGGAAGCGCTTCTCTGCACAGGCAATCTGTGTGACTCCCAGGTTGGCCGGGCCTTCGCACTGGATCGGACCAATCACATTGGCATAGTATTTCCATCCTATTAACCCCCAACCTATGACCTCTTGCAATGATCCCTGTAAGATAAGAAAGTAAACGTTTTCTTTTACAACAGCAAAAGAAAAAAAAAAGACTGGGAGTAACACTGAGATATTATAAGCTAAAAACAAAGCAAATAAAGAGAAAATATGCTGATTCAAAACATCAAAATAGCTGGTACCACGCCGTATTACCTCATTTAACAGGTATGATGAAGCGACTGAACAGGTTAGTTTTCCATTTCCATCGCGTTTCATTTTAAGAGAGCCCATTAAAAAGTAGTATCGATGGCCCTTAAATACTAATATACTTTAAAATGTTCAAACTACATCGGGGTCACCATTTTGTGCTTTAGGAGGCAAAATCCCAAAAGCCCACACGCGAGGCTGGGAGACCAGCATCCGTGTCGGCGGTGAGAGAAATCAAGTCGTGCAGGAGCAACTGGTGACAACCAGCCCACACTGGGTGCATCCCCACCTGCGCATGGGCACGGGCACGGGCACACACGCGTGCACACATGCAGCACACGTGTTCCAGGGCAGGCCCTGCAGCACTATTTGTGTTTGTTTTATTGTTGTTGTTATTGTTGTTTGAGAAGGAGTTTCACTCTTGTTGCCCAGGCTGGAGTGCAGTGGCGCCATCTCAGCTCACTGCAACCTCCGCCTCCCGGGTTCAAGTGATTCTCCTGCCTCAGCCTCCCGAGTAGCTGGGATTACAGGCATGTGCCACCATGCCCGGCTAATTTTTGTAGTTTTTAGTAGAGATGGGGTTTCTCCAAGTTGGTCAGGCTGTTCTAAAACTCCCAACCTCAGGTGATCTGACCACCTCGGCCTCCCAAAGGGCTGGGATTACAGGCGTGAGTCACCACACCAGGCCCTCAGCACTATTTGTATAGCAACATTGTGGCAATAAGCCCAAGTGTCCACCAACAAGAGACTCACTAAACAAACATACATAAAACACACATCCACACGCTGAATACTAAGTTGCTTTATAAAAACAAAGAGCCACACTCTGATAAAGTACTCCAGTACATATGGTTAGTAAAAAACACACACCACAAGTAATGCAACATGCTACCACTAGGTACTCATTCCAGAGAACAAGGAGGTTACAGAGGAGACTGAAAAGTCAGAGGGAGCAGGTGGGAAACTGGGTAGAAGGGGTGGGCAGGGAAAGCGACAGTGTGTCTCTGCCTAGGTTTGATTTTTGAACCGTGTGACTGTATTCCTTTTTTTTTTTTTTTTTTTTTTTTTTGAGAAAGTCTGGCTCTGTCCCCCAGGCTGGAGTGCAATGGCGGGATCTTGGCTTACTGTGACCTCCGCCTCCTGGATTCACACCACTCTCCTGCCTCAGCCTCCCAAATAGCTGGGACTACAGGCACCCGCCACCACGCCCGGCTAATTTTTTGTATATTTAGTAGAAACGGGGTTTCACCGTGTTCGCCAGGATGGTCTCGATCTCCTGACCTTGTGATCCACCCACCTCGGCCTCCCAAAGTGCTGGGATTACAGGCGTGAGCCACTGCGCAGGGCCTCCTTTTTTTTAATGACTGTAAAACAAAATAAATACTCTTCATATTAGAAATAAAATGTTAGAAAAGTCGATTCAAAACTAACATTACTGTTATACCCTTGCAAAGTTCACCACCATTCCCAAAGGCAGTTTTCTCATTCACATAATGAGATACAACAGCATGCATGAGGTCCTCAGCGGGCCTGCACCCTACAGTTGCTCCACACACGCAAATCACTACTATTACCATTACTATTACGTACCAGATAGAATATGGAACTATACTGTCACTACTATAACCAGCATTACCTACTAAGACAGCCCGTATTCAGAGTATAAAGAAGGCTGTGGAACCCCCTGCAGAAGGTGGGAGGGCCTGGGGCTGTGGATAAAGGGGAACTCTCTGGGGCTGTGCTACCTGAACCTGGAACCAGGGCCCCCAGGTTGGGTCCCTAGGCCTGTGCACCTCAGCTTGCTCATCACTCACTCTCAACACGGGGAACACCTTCAACTGCAAACACGTTTAAAACCACAAGCCAGCTTCCCCCATCAATACCAGAAAACACAAGTCTCCACGTGGGCCCAGGATGAGAACCTAGAAGTGGTGCTAGCCACAAAACACATGGAGAACACGGTTGTTGCACACACCTTATGAGACGTCGGAGCACTACACAGCGGAGGCAAACAGAGCGTAGCCAGACGGTCTAAATGGCCCATGACAACAACCACGGTCTGTCGCGGATCAATGGCAAGCTCGTTGTCTTGTGGAAGGGTGAGGTACCTCAGGAAACACTCGCTGGGGCTCAGGGGGCCAGACAAAAGCTAGAAAGGAAAAGTAAACACACATTCAGAAATGGTGGGAAAAATTAAAGTAACACAATTAGCCCTTAAGAAAATAAAAAACCACTCTTTATATTTTGGTATTTACTCATGTGGCCCATCAAATGACCATGTCGATGATACAGTTATACTACACATCTATATATTTATGCAGCATATAAACTGACTGTACAAATGTCTAAATTTGCTGTATACATGTTCACAACATTGACTGTGCATGTATACACTTACGATACCACAGGTAAGTTGAGTCCACACAGATTACTAATACAACCAAACCACCTCGCAGGCCTGGGACCCTTGGGGAAAGGCAGAACCACCTCTGGGGGAACCCAGCGCAGCATCTCAAGCTGGCCTTGAAATCCAAAACCAAAACCTTTACTTTAATCTAAACCTTGCCCGCTCTGGAGAACACCTACTTTCATTTGCAAATTAAATCATAATTCTAATTTTTCTACAGGCAGAAGAGCCCGATGATTATTAAAGACTGCCAAGTGATAGAAAAATTAAACTAAAGCACAATACTGGAATGCCTAAGACTTTCCCGAAAAGACTGGCAAAATCCAACCTGTACTTGACCTGTAAGGACCAGCAGTCCTGGAGGTTCCAGGCCCAGGGCCCCGCGCACCTGCTCCTCCCCGAGCGCGGCATCCGCACCTGTTAAGGGGGGAGTTGGTACTCAACAGAGTGACAGCTCAGGTGACATGCCCTGCACAGAGCCCAGTACACAGGAAGGGCCAACAAAGCAGGCCACTGTTTTCGTTGTTCTTTTCTGGTATTGATTTAAAAATGCGTGTTTCAAGCTTAGTTCTGTGCTGACGAGGAAGTCGGTGCTCACTGATTCAAGTCTTCTCCACAAACAAGTGACCTCCCACACCTGTCTCATCTGACTCGCTGCTGTTTCCACCAAACACACACACACCAGAGAAAAACACTGCCATGGACACGCACGCTGGTCTTGCTTAAAAAGTAACTAGAAGGCCGGGCGCGGTGGCTCAAGCCTGTAATCCCAGCACTTTGGGAGGCCGAGACGGGCGGATCACGAGGTCAGGAGATCGAGACCATCCTGGTTAACACGGTGAAACCCCGTCTCTACTAAAAAAAATACAAAAAAATAGCCGGGCGAAGTGGCGGGCGCCTGTAGTCCCAACTACACGGGAGGCTGAGGCAGGAGAATGGCGTGAACCCGGGAGGCGGAGCTTGCAGTGAGCCGAGATCTGGCCACTGCACTCCCGCCCGGGCGACAGAGCGAGACTCCATCTCAAAAAAAAAAAAAAAAAGAAAAAAAAAAGTAACTAGAATCCAGTGCCACCGAAACACAAAGTTCCATCATACACACTCACGTGCATGTCGCCCTCAGAGTGGGGCGTATCCTGCCTGCAAATGATGCTCCGGAACCTTTGCAGCAAGGGCAAAAGCGGGCGCTGGTGCCTTGGGTGGGAACGCTCATTGTCAGTCTCCTGTGCCCCGCTGTCCCACAGCTGAAGCAACAGCAGGATGCAGACAACATTTGGCTAAAGAAGAAAAGATATTCATTCCTAGTAAAAACACATTAACTTTTTTTTTTCATGGTTAATCAAAAATAAAAGCAAACAGCTATATAGAAGTGAAGAAATACTTGGGATCTGGAAAGAAATGAAAGCAAAGCTGTGGTAATTAAATCACTGAATTGACACTGAGATTTTAGCACACAACATCGCCTTCTGCTGACAGGAAAGACCAGTTAAGAAGCTCAAAGAGCACGTTTACATGAAAGCTCTAGGATCTTAAATTCATGGAATAAAAACAATTAAATGAGGAAAACTGAAAGAAAAAAAAAAGAACAGTTCCCAGACTAGAAAACCGAGCATAAAAAAGGAAGTGAAGAAAAGGTAAAGAGAGAGCGAGCTCTGGGACATGGTTCTCTGCTTACAGAGCACCACACATCTGCTGCAGTCACAAACCATTCAGTAAAATGCACACAGTGCAACAGGTATTTGGATACAGACGCACTTCCCCAAAGCGTTCCCAGTCTGCAGCAGCCCTCACCTCAGCGTGCCTCTCTGCACAGCCGGCTCCAGCAGGATGGCCAGGACCAAGTGCTGCTCCTGCAGGGGGACGCTTCTGGCCCTTTGGTGCCTGGCGTTCCGTGAACATCCCTGAAATGAAAGCAGTGGATGCAGGAACAAAGCGACCTCCAGAAACACAGCATGCTTACAATCACACTACACGTTTACTACACGCTCCCTCCCAAGGAAGGATGTATTTTTAATATTTAGAATCAAGTTTCTGAGACTTGCTACTCAAATTTATTCAGAGGTTTTAAAGTGTACAACTAGCTTACAAAAATGTATTTGAAGTATTCATTCAGATACTATATTACAGTAGATGACATACTCCAAGTGTGTGAAGCATAAAATAATTTATCTCATTATCCAAAACATGAGTAGAAGAGTATCTAGCTATGTTTTCTAGTTTCCATGTCATGTAAGACTGTAACAGTATCAACATTCTCCTACAGAATTAGAGAAACAATTTCTAAAACCACCTGAGAATCTGGAGGCAAAATATCTACACTAATTTTTATCTCTCATCAATGAAATAGTTTAAAATCCTATCCCAAGACTGCAAAGAAAAGATCTTATGGCATCAATACTGCAGCTGAATTTTTGAAATCAACTCCAAGCCTATGTTCAGGGCCTCCAGCGTTAAAACTCTGTGGCGATGCCTTCACCAGCAGGCTCAGGAACTGGACTCAGCCGGGGACCTCCGCAAACGCCAAAGGCCCCCTGCCGGCTGGAGGAAGGCACCGTGCTGACCTCTGGCAAGAAGAGTGAGGAGTGGCCTCACTTTTCCTCTGCATCTGTCCTTCCTGTTGAATTTTATATTTTCTTTAAATTTAAAAACCTTAACAACAATGCAAAGCACCCACGACCAGAGTTCAAGTTTTTCCTTACACACAAATGATTCCTATTCAATGGTTTTCCTCAAGTGACAGGATCACAAGTGGATTTTTAGTTGCATTGTTTAAGAACTTTGATCAAATGTCTTTTGTAAAGGAAAAGTTTTCTCTTTAAGAGTAAAAGAAATGGCTGGGCGCGGTGGCTCACGCCTGTAATCCCAGCACTTTGGGACGCTGAGGCGGGTGGATTACAAGGTCAGGAGATCGAGATCATCCTGGCTAACACGGTGAAACCTCGTCTCCACTAAAAATACAAAAAAAAAAATTAGCCGGGTGAGGTGGTGGGCGCCTGTAGTCCCAGCTACTCGGGAGACTGATGCAGGAGAATGTCATGAACCCGGGAGGCGGAGCTTGCAGTGAGCCTATATCGCGCCACTGCACTCCAGCCTGGGCAACAGAGCCAGACTCCGTCTCAAAAAAAAAAAAAAAAAAAAGAATAAAAGAAATGTGCAAGGAATTTTAAATGTCCTGGGAAAATGCCCATGAAATGACCTCACAAGGGAGATTCTAGTGGGAGGAAGCAGACGATAAGCAGATAAATACACAAATGGAGGGAGAGTAAATCTCACATGGGAGACCAGGCTGGAGAGGAGGGGGAAGAAGAGCAGCAGAGCCGCACAGGGTAGCCTGGCTCGTCCCAGCTCCGGCGTCCTCCACTCGGGATCTGCTCCTGGCTGCGGTGAAGCCCTGTGTGCTTGACCCACCCCGTTGGGAGCCACCCTCTTCTGAGGGTAGTGCTCATCACCCTCCTGTGTCTTTTTAAGCTTTTCACTACTTGAGTGTGTTAATTTCACAAGTCACACTTTCATTCCGCATGTTGTAAAAGGTTACGCAAATGGTACACCATAAAACCACCCTGTACAAGAGAGAAAAGGCTAGCATATAACAATGCATAATCTCAACTCAATCATACACAGCAAGTAATTGTATTTTACACTTTATACCATATTTCTAATATATGCATATTACAGTATTGCTACTATAGACTATATTCTCCAAATTTACTAAAATTTGCTTTCATCATCAGCGGAAATTCTATAAAAACAGGTGATGTGGAGTTCCAGACCAGCCTGGCCAACATGACAAAACCCTGTCTCCACTAAAAATACAAAACTTAGCCAGCTATGGTGGCAGCACCCCTGTAATCCCAGCTACTCCGAGGCTGAGGCAGGAGAATCGCTTGAACCTGGGAGGCGGAGGTTGCAGGGAGCAATGATAGCCCTGCTGCCCTGGGCACCAGTGAGATCCCCACGTCAAAACAAACAAACAAAATCATCTCTAAATTACCATAGCACCCAAAACAAGGTACATACTCTGTGATTAGTTGTTGTATTGTATTGTTTTTTATTTGTTCTTTTTATTGTTGTTTTTTATTGCTTTTCTTCCAATATTTTTGATCCACAGTTGGTTGAATCTGTGGATGTGAAACCCACAGATACAGAGAGCCAACTTTAATGTGATTTCAACTGTATTCAAACTTAAGGAAATAAAAAAAGCAACCAAACACAACAATTAAAACATAAGAAAACACGGAAACGCTACAAGGATCGCTCCTGTCTCTGGGGAGCAAGACGCTCAGGGTTTTGCCCTGGTTTCTGCCTCCTGTACTTTCCATGTGCTCTCCAGGGAGTCAAAGTCACTATCACAGTCAAATAAAGCCAGCACTCCTAACTACACAAAATACAGTTTCATCTGGTAACCTTGCAGTTTAACCTTCTGAGGACAAAAGTCTGATAGACAGCTTCATTTCGGAAAAGTACAATTTTACATAAGCCTTAACCATTCTAGTGACTGTTAGCAAAGAGAGGAAATCTGTGATATATTAACAAGCATCAACACATTAAAACTCATATGCCCAAAAGCATCTTTTTTTAATCTCTTTTTGAGATGGGGTTTCATTCTTGTTGCCCAGGCTGGAGTCCAATGGCGCAATCTCTACTCACCGCAACCCCTGCCTCCTGGGTTCATGCCATTCTCCCGCCTCAGCTTCCTGAGTCGCTGGGATTACAGGCATGCGCCACCATGTCCCAGCTAATTTTTAAATTTTTAGGAGACACGAGGTTTCTCCATGTTGGTCAGATCTCGAACTCCTGACCTCAGGTGATCTGCCCGCCTTGGCCTCCCAAAGTGCTGGGATTACAGGTGTGAGTCACCGTGCCTGGCCAACAAGCATCTCTTGTAATAAAGAATAAGAAAATCACACTAGGAAGGAAAAACATGAAGCAACTAAATTGTTGGGCACTAAACATTACAATCTATCTCCTACTCAGCAACAAAACAAAATAGAAAGTATACAACGTTCAGAACTCATTCTCAAATTTATACTTGAGCTGATCTAAAGCTGTGGCTGGCTTCCACAGAAAAAAGTCTTTGAAATAATGACACAGAGCCAGGCACAGTGTCTCATGCCTGTAATCCCAGGACTCTGAGTGGCTGAAGCAGGAAGATTGCTTGAGGTCAGGAGCAAGAACCCATCTCCACACACACACACACACACACACACACACACACAAATTATTTTATTTAGCCAGGCATGGTGGCGGGTGCCTGTAGTCCCAGCTACTCAGGTGGCTGAGGCAGGAGGATCATTAGAGCCCCGGAGTTCAGGTTACAATGAGCTATGATTACACCACTGCACCCCAGCCTCGGTGACAGAGCAAGATGTTGTCTCTCCAAAAAAAAAAAAAAAAAAGAAAAAAAAAAGAAAAGAAATTTTAATTGAATAAAAAAATACACAGATTACATAGTACGGTCTGTTACTACATGAGCAAGTTGGCAAATCCATTCTCCAGATTATATGAAACATACGAAAAGGGAAAGCAAGAATAAATTTCAGAAGGTGAAGACAGACACTATATTGAAAACCTTAATTAAACTTTCTGAAACAAAACAGTCTGAATTTTCTATTTCATTGGCATCAGGATTCTTTCGTCGCTTTATTATTACCTTTTTTTGTCCACAGGAGGCAGAGAAATGTTGCTGCTTTTCCACTTAACTTTGACATTCTCCTGACAAACGGTTCTATTCAAGGCAACGAAATAGCGCTCCAAGATCAGCAGCCTCTGCTTGAGTCTCAGGGCTGAGAGGGTGGCGGCGGCGGACTGGACGGCCAGGGCCTGCTGCTCTTTAACCAGCACAGAAAGACACTCCTTCGGTTCATTCACATCTAGAAAACAAGACAAGAAAACATCTCCCCTGTGGACAATGTGGCCACCGTTTGTTGTAACGTTGAGAAAATGGATGATGATGACAGGTGGTACTGGAAGGCATGGTATGTGGCAACAATGGTTTCAACCACTCTACACGTAGGAGCTCAGGCAACCCTCACACCCAGCACGGTCAAGCAGTGCTGTCCATCCATTTTATGGATGAAGAAACCGAGGCACCAAGTGGTTAAGCAACTTCTCCGAGGTCACACAGAGGAGTACGGCACATGACGGAGACTCTGAGCCACCGTGGCATACTGCCCCTCTGGAGACATCGTATAAAAGTTGTTGGCCAGGCGCGGTACCTCATGCCTGTAATTGAAGCACTTTGGGAGGCCAAGGCGAGTGGATCACTTCAGGTCAGGAGTTCGAGACCAGCCTGGCCAATGCCCAACATGGCGAAACCCCTTCTCTACTGAAAAAAATATACAAAAATTACCCAGGTGTGGTGGTGCGTGCCTGTAACTCCAGTTACTTGGGAGGCTGAGGCACGAGAATTGCATGAACCCAGGAGGCACAGGTTATAGTGAGCTGAGATTGTCTTGTTGCACTCCAGTCTGGGTGACAGAGTGAGACTCTGTCTCCCAAGGAAAAAGAGTTACTAACACAGAACTTTGAAGTCAGTATCAGTCAATTATTTATCAGCAGCACATCTCCTAAACAGAGAAAAACACTAGCCATCATTTTCATCTTGCAAAACCAAATTCAAAATAAAAAAGATACCTTGATAAAATTACCCAGCATGCACGACTCATGAAACACATTTAGGGACACATTTTAGAGGAAGATAAAGTAACCAGTTAGAATACACATTCTAACTAGTAAGTCATATTTCATTATATTATTCTCTCTACTTCTAGGTATCTTTGAAAATTTCCATACTAACAAGTGTTTGTTGAGTAGCTAGAAGGCAATCACATGAGTGAAAGTAATTCAAAGGATTCTGGCCTTTCAATTAAGCAGGCGTCTACCTCAGAGTACAGATCATTACAGGTGAACTGAAAGTTACCTCCCACCAATCCCCTATAACAGCGCAGCTCCCAGTGGCGGGGTGAGAGCTGGGCTCTTCTGTGCTTGCCTCTCTGCTGCTTACCAGCCTGGAGGCCAGCAGCTACCAGCCTCGCAGCCCTGGATCCTGACAGGTAATAGCAACACCCTACTGGCTGCCTCCCCTTGGGTAGAAGACATCAGCTTTCCGGCAACCCATTACCTGGATATGTCTGCACGGGATGGGAGGGGCCTTAGAAGGCATTAAAGGGACACATCTCACCACTCCCTGGAAAGGCACAGGATGGTGCACACTGTGCCCAGCACCAGCAGTAGGATGTGAGACCTGGAGCTTTGCAGCTAAGAGCTAATAGTTATTGAAAACTACATGAAGAATACTGAATCGATTGCACACTGGGCTCAAGATGGAGAAGCGAAAGAGCGGTGCCCCTGCCCTTCTCAGGACATCCCCACCGAGCCGCCCTTCAGGCAAGGAGGCTGGCCCAGCACTTCAAGGGCTAAGCCCTTCCTGAAGACTCCCTGCATTTTCCGCTTTTAAATAATACATCTCCCTTCTGCCTGGCTGCGGAGCCCAGAAACAACCCCAAAGCTCCAAGAGGGCAGCTCCGCCCTTGAACACCCCCGTGCCCTTCTCCCTAACACCCTCCTGTTTATTCCATCGCAATCCTGACTGTCCAGTCATCAGTCATTCATGCTCTGAAACAGTGGGTGAGAAAATACACAAACCATGGACACCAGTGGGGAGTCAGAACTCCCACCCCTGCTTCACAGTAACCAGGGGCCTCTAGGCAAACTGGGAAGCCTGGACTTCATCTCGAGCTGCCAGTGACGAGGTGGGGCACGCCCTATCCCTGCCAGAGCAGGGTCACAGAAAGATCTAACCGCTCACACCTAAGTAAGACCTGGAGTCGACTAACAACATGTTCTATTGAGAAAGTCACTCATGATATCAAGAACCAGGAAGATCTGAAACCACATTTTAAAAAACAATTATAGAAATACCACGATGAAAGATGTGGGAATAATATGGCAAATAATTTAAAGCAGCCTTGATAAAGAGGCTTCAGCAAGCAATTACAAACACATGTGAAATAGATGAAAAAACAGCCTAAGACAAGGAAGACAAAACAACAACAACAACAACAACAAATAGAATGCTTAGAACTGAAAAATACAATAACCAAAATCAAAAGCTCAGTGAATGGACACGGCAGTAGAATGGAGGAAAAAGGGCAAAGAATCAGTGAGGTAGAAGATAGAAGCTCTCCAATGTGAATAACACAGAAGAAACACATGCCCCCAAGGTGGGATGTGGTGGCTCACAGCTGTAATCCCAGCACTTTGAGAGGCTGAGGCAGGCGGATCACAAGGTCAGGAGTTTGAGAAAAGCCTGGCCAACATGGTGAAATCCCATTTCTACTAAAAATACAAAAGTTAGCTGGGCATAGTGGCGGGCACCTATAATCCCAGCTACTCGAGAGGCTGAGACAGGAGAATCGTTTGAACTTGGGAGGCGGAGGTTGCAGTGAGCCGAGATCGTGCCATTGCACTCCAGCCTGGACAATGGGGAGAGACTCCATCTTAAAAATAAAACAAAACAAAACAGTCTCGGGCATCTATGGGACTATAACAACTCTGGTCACTGAACTCAGGAAGGAACAGGAGAAAGAAGGTGGGGTTGAAACTGTACCCTAAGAAGTGATGGCTTAAAAGTTCCCAAATTTGGCAAGAGACATGAATCTACAGATCTAAGGTAAGCAAACCCTAAACAGGATGAACCCAAAGAAATCCAAACGAAGACATATCATACATAATCAAACTCCAAAAAACAAAAAGAAAAGAAAACATTTCAAAAGCCACTAAACGAAAACAGTAACCTTAACTATCGTGGATTAACAAGTCAAATGACAGCGAATTTCTCATCAGATACCATGGAGGCCAGCTGAAAGTATAAAATATTTTTCAAATGATGAAAAGAACCATTAACCCAGAATTCTTATATCCAGCAAAAGTGTCCTTCAGGAATGAAAAGGAAAGCAAAACATTCTCAGAGGAAGTAAAACAGAATTTGTCACCAGAAGGCCCACACCAAAAGAAAGGCTAATGCAAGTTCTCTAAGCAGAATGGCAACCACAAAAGAAGAAAACCCTGGAACTTCCGGAAGGAGGAGCATGACACGCACACCTATGCATAAATACAGTAGACTCTTTCCTCAGCTCTTGACTTTGCTAAATTATGTCTGAAAGCTCAACCAAAAATTATAACATTGTCATATGTGGATATAAATGTAAGCAAATGAAATATTTAAGGCAAGTATATTATGAACAGGAGAACATAAAGGAACATCACGGGAGGTAGTTTCTATATCCCTGAAACTGGTAAATGACAACACCAGGTACAATCTAATGAGTGTTCATACACACGCAGGCTGAGTGTCCCTTACAAAACGCTCGGGAGCACAAGTGTCCCACATTTCAGATGTTTATCACATTTAGGAATATTTGCATATAAGTAATGAGATATTTTGGGGATAGGACCCAAGTCTAAATACACTCATTTATGTTTTATATATACCTTATACACAGAGCCTGAAGGTAATTTTATATAGTATTCTTAGTAATTTTATGCATGAAACTGTAGCAGGACGAGCTGCAGACAAAACCTCTCCGACACCGAGTTGTCCAAGGAAGGGCTTTATTCAGCTGGGAGCATCGGCAAGCTGCCGCCTTAAAATCCAGGCTCCCCGAGTGCACAATTTCTGTCCCTTTTGAGGGCTCACAACACTAAAGATTTCACATGAAAGGGTCGTGACTGATTTGAGCAAGCAGAGGGTGTGTGACAGGGGCTGCATGCACCGGTGGTCAGAGTGACACAGAACAGGGCCGGGAGTTTCACAACGTTCTTCTATGAGTTTCACAAGGTTCTTCTATACAATGTCAGGAACGTCGGTTTCTAAGTCATGAGGTGATTTTTAATGACTGGGTTTAGGTCAGGCAGACCCAGGCCTGGTTCCGGGCCTGGCGCCGGGCTGCCTGCCTTTGGTTTTACTTCATTGCTTTTTCTTAAAACAGGTAATGAGTATAAAACAACATAAAACAACGTGAGAGGGTCTCTCTCTTTCCTCACAACAAAGTTCATGCTAACTACTTATGAATGGAATTTTCTACTTGGGGGTGTCATGCTGGGGTGCCAAAAAGTTTCCAATTTTGGGGCATTTCAGATTTTGCATTTTGGGTTTAGAGATGCTCAATCTGTATGTAATATATTACCTAGAAAAGCCACTAAAAAAAACTCTACAAAAAGATATATTCTGAAACACTACTGATAAATCAAAATAGAATGCTAAAAATGTTCAAGTAAACCACAGAGAGCAAGGAAGAACCAAACTGAAAAAATGAAAAGCAGAAGAAATAGAAAATACAAAACAAAATGGCAGTGTTAAGCCTCAATTTACCAATAATGACATTAAGTTAAATGCGAACAGTCTAAATACATCAGTTAAAAGACAGACACTGGGAGAGTAGACGAGAGAACATCATCCAACTACATGTTGTCCATAACAAAGTAACTTCAAACAGGCAAACTGAAAACAGAAGTATAGAAAAAGAAAGATCATGCAAACATTACTGAAAGGACAGCAGAAGTAGGCTACATTAACATCAAATAAAGTAAACTTCAAAGCACAGATAATTACCAGGAGGGCCGGGCACAGTGGCTCACGCCTGTAATCCTAGCACTTTGGGAGGCCAAGCTGGGTGGATCACCTCAGCTCAGGAGTTTGAGACCAGCCTGGCCTACATGGCAAAACCCCATCTCTACTAAAAATACAAAAATTAACTGGGTGTGATGGTGGGTGCCTATAATCCCAGCTATTCAGGAGGCTGAGGCAGGAGAATCACTTGAACCCCATGGGACTGGAGGTTGCAGTGAGCTGAGATTGCACCACTTCACT